CTTTTCATATTAGCTACTAACTAAATGTATCACGAACCACTTGCTGTCTAGATCCCTAGCGCCAGGCTAGCGCTATCCTAGCGCCAACAAGGGGATTAACGAGCCCTAGTTGCGTGACGCCTCTTGTTGAACATACAAATCTAGACCCCAGCAACCCAATAGGTCCTTGTGTATGAACTTCGCGACAGGGTATTTAGAGCGCCTGAGGATCTCTCATATCAGGACGCTCATGCAACTAGGATTACCCACCTTCATCCCACTTTCGATGTATAATCTGTATGAACCCCCTAGTACCTTATTTGCACACATTGGCTGACGCCCTACAATTCGTGACAACAGCATTGGGGGGAAGCATCCAAGGAATTTTGCAGGCTAAGGGGGGAAAGCATAAGTCTCGTGCTTCCGAAACATAAGACTTTCGCGCTGCTACTCGAGCCGCCAGTATTTGGTGAGAAGCGATTCCGCCGTGCTCTCGTTCGGGGAAAACATCCCGGGTGTGGTTCCGAATACCTCGCTTCTTGGGGGACAACTTCTTGGGAGTGTCCTCCTGGTCTCTTGGTGCTGTGCTGGGAGTCTATGGGGCGCAACTTGGCATTAGCCACAACTCGATAGGTCGCATCATGTTCTGATCTGCCCGGCATGATGGACGACAAGTTGCAGTGGACCTTGACGGTGCCAGCATTTAACGAGTTAACGAACCCGCTGCAATGCGCCCCCTTGCTTTCCGGCAGTCACCTGCCTTGCTCAGAAGAGCTCGATGCTTCAGAGGCTGAACTCATAGCATATGTTGAGACGGAAGCCCGAAACAGGGCCACCCGAGCCCACATCCCCGAACCCCCAGCCAACAACCTGGCTGCCCGAAGCCCGGAAAGTGAGGGATTCCCTCCTTTTTTCCGCGAGCGCTGCAGGAGAACCATCAACATTCTCTGTACTCGCAACGTAAACACCCCATATTGTTACCACACAATATGAATACTTCACTGACGCCGTCCCAGGGGGGGTCGGCGGATACTATATATATATATACACATATATATATATATGTATGTATATGTATGTATATATATATATCTATGTATGTATGTATATGTATGTATGTATGTATGTATGTATGTATGATATGTATATTGTACATGTACATATTTCTTCATTTAGCTTATTTCGTTGTTCATTGGCTTATTCATCATATTTCAACAAGTCGTTGCACACCCCTCTCAAGCTCCGAGCGCCACCAACACTTGTCCACAGAAGCACCGTTTAGAATGCATTGAAACATTCAAGAAGGATTTCCAGGAAGTTGCTCATGCTGTGCTCGTGCAAACATGGCGCTGCCAGCCCGAAGACCGAGGCAATGCTGGCCCAGCGAATTCAAGGGTTCGGCAATGTCAACCCACCGCCGCTGGAGGTGCACAGCGGTCGTTGCAGACTGTTGCCTGCGAGTTCGCAGGGTCATAGCCATGCTGCAGAAGGGCGTCCTTCATTAGGGAGGCACTGTGACCATCTGTAATGCGTTCTATTTTAGGCATGTTTGGCCGTCATCTGTAAGGCGCCACAAGATTCTCCCGCTTTTTTTTATGTTCGTTTCTGCTGGCGGTGAACCTTAACTGGGTACACAATACTATTAGCAGACCTCAGGCTGGTCGATTGTGGGGCAGGTGTCGCATGAAGGAAAGAGTCTTCAAAATGAAGGGTTTATCTGGTCTAGGTAGTCATCTTTGGAGTTTGGTTTCGAGGTCGGGAGGCCTTCTACACCCACCTAAACAGCTGTAGGTACCACCTATAATGAGCCCTCCTATGCTACTGTACTACTTTAGTGGGCCTCAAGCTTGTTCGATTGTGGTGGCGTCTAGGATGAAGGAAAAGGCCAAAATGAAGGGTTGATAGTCTTGGTAGTTTCCGTGGAGTTCTCGTGTTTTTTTTGCGAATCTTTGGGCCCCTAACCGCCGCTAGACAACTCTAGGTACTACTACAGTACTACTACTGCACTTCTACTATACTTCTGTAGTACTACTGTCTACCGTACTACCGTGCTGCTGCTGTGCTACTGCTGTACTTCTGACTAGTACTGTATCTCATTCTGAAGAGCCCATCTCCTTCTACAGTAATCTGCAGGACCAGGACGCACCAACCCGACAACCGTCTGAAGAGGTTCTCCCCCTCGACCGCCCAACCTCTCGCAAGAGTTTCGGGAATGGCGCAGCCATGCATCGTGGACATGTTGGAGCGTTGGATTTCTGGGTATGTGTGTGTGTGTATGTATGTATATATATATATATTATATTATATATATATATTATATTATATATATATATTTCTACACACATCCAGCGCAAGCTACTACGTTTGCAAGGTCGTTCGGTCATCTCCTGAATGCGTGCCGGAAACCAACGTCGTTTTCCACCCAAACGCGGGATGCCAGGAGGAGACTGGAGCCACGGTGGCCAAAAAAGCCATCGGGCGCTTGGGTGACATGGTGCCCTGGACGAGAACCGCGGTTGTTTGTTGTGTTCGAAAATGGTGATCAGTCTCACTGGAATCGGTTCGCGAGCTACTGGACTGCTTGCCCGCGGTTGCAGATGTCATGCCCGAAGTAATAGATGTAATAGGACTAGGGAACAAGTCTTGGGATCCAGTGTTGTGGAACATTAACGTGAAAAGCTTGTGTGCCAATTATGCCTGTGAGTGTTAGCTTCGGATTGCGAGGTCCCACAGTTCAGGAGCGCTGGAGAAGGGATGCGGTGAGTTGAACACGTGAGACGCTGTTAGAGAGGAGCCCTGCCGCCGTCGCAAAAGCTAGCGTTTTTTTCGAATCAGGCATCGCACACTTTACGCTTTCTCAGGCGGCACTGGGATTGCAGACTGTCACGGGACGCCTGGGGCAAAGAACAGGTCCTGAAAGTAGCAGAACATTGGATCGTCTGAGGTTGGCGAAGAGGTGATGCTAACTGTGGAGGCCGACCGTGTTCGCGTTGCAGAAGCGAAATTGTTCAGTCCTGCAAGCTTAATCCGCGGCGTCCACAGCAAATGAGTCATGAGGATGTTTAGTTTACCGGTGCTGAGCAACACTCGAACATAGCCGAGAGACTTGTCGGTTTGAGTCTGCTGTGCAGGATTTCAAGGAAAAGGGTGCCGTGGGTGCGGTCAAAGATGCTGTGGCCGACGCAGGCGAAATCCACACAGGGGCAAGCCACACAAGAACTACGAGATGTAGTGCTGCGAACAGGGTAAGAGCGATTTGATGTAGCGCGGGCGGCGTGGCCTCTGAAACCCCGGGTCCTGGAGCTCGCTTGAGCGTGATTGGCTCTGGAAGTTGTTGGGCCCAAGTGATCCTGTTGTCTTGGGAGCATACGTACGGAAGCTGACGGAAGATCTCGCCTCTGTGCACAGGCGACATTCTCATCGACGGTGTCTCAGGCCAGGGTCTCCGGGTCAAAGGGGATAGTACGGAACGAAGCCTTGAAGTTGTCCGCGAGGCATCATCGGCTGGATTCGGGGCGAGCCCCCAGCAGAGGAGGAGAGTGAGAAAGCCGAGGTCGCCCGACCGAATCGCTCGGAATTGACAAAGCCATTTCGTACCTACTCCACCACGGTTTCTCTGACAATTAGGGGCTGCTGGACCTATAGCTGATTTCTGGCCTTATTGATTGAAGAGCCGGATGCAGGAGGCCTTACAGCTGCACAAGCCCTGTGGGATAGAAGCCTGAGCCGTTGCAGCGCCAGTGCTTAAATACACAAACTTGTGCAAGACCTCCAAACTTGACGATTCGAGCGCAGGCTCTGTTTCCGCAGAATCAGCTGTCACCCCAAGCCTTCGTGCCGTTCCGGTCCAATCGGACACAAACCGAACTTATACTTAGATAGCCAGTAGCCGGGCTGTCAGATCTGATAGTTCAGGTGCTGGGCGAAGCTGTGTTAGCCATCTGTCCATATGCTTCGACTGCTTCGACTTCGTCTGTCAGGATGCCACGAAGGCCTTGGCCTATGGCCCTAATGGCGCTGCCTATGGCATCTCGCAGGCTCATCTCTCAGCTCTCCCGGGTGCAAGGCAATGGCAATGCAAGGGACCTGCAGGGACCTAGTCTTCTCTGGCCCTTTGGCCTCCGTCGAATCCGTGCTCAGTGCTCCTAAACCCCCGCTCGCCGAGTGAAGGCCTCTCCGACTGGAGGCATCAACGCGGTTTGGGTAATGCCCGAGGACAGGGGCCGCCTAGGATTTCAGCATCCCACGGGCACGATACATTCACATACATTCCGAACCCGTCCATCGCAAGAGCTACTCAAACTCTCGAAGACTCGCAAACCTCACACACCACGAATCCTGATAAACTTCTGGCGCCTACTTCTTCCGTGCATGTTTAGCCTATAACTTGGAGTGGAAATGGTCTTACGGTCCATGCGCACTAACGGGATTCCTTTGAGAACTGTGTGAGATTTTCGCATTAAGGCCCATGTCCATATGTGCAGCAGCACATGCAAAGTCAAGAACCCGGGTTCATGTTCAATTTGTACCATGTAATACCGTGCAGCACCGCGACTGTCCATCACAAGTTGTTTACATGGAAGTTCTGAAGCCTTCATGCAGCAACGCGATTTCGAAGTCGCAGGAAGCAGACCCACAGGCCATGGCGCAGCTTGCAGCACAGCAGGGAGGCCGCAAGCCCCGTCGCATGAAACCGTGACATGATGAATGTGCTACATGACCTCTATAGCAGACAATGCACATCTTTGCAGTTTGCATACATCCAAATCTGGAGATTTCGCAATGCTTAGAAAAGCCTCCGTTGATTTCCGACCTTCGAAGGCCGGGCCGTCAACGACCCGCGTGTTCCGAAGAACATCCAGCCTGGGACCTTGTGCTTCAGTTCCAGCCTTCAACCCTACTGTCCTGTGAGTGTAACAGGGGTGCATGTTCGTATGGGTGTCGGCAGCGATCGGTTGGATTGGATGCAGTCGGTGTGAAAGCGATTATGGATCACGGCATACTTTTCCTGGTTGTTAAATTAGAACCCGTGAATGCCTAATGGAAACACAGAGGAGCTGGCAAAGGATGCGGGGTTGGAGGACGCTTTGGATTAGACCAGACCAAGGCCGTACCAGCCGCCCGCCGGCTCGAGAGCGGCCCCACGGCTCATGAGGAGCAATCGAGATGATTCAAATAAGGTGAAAAAGCCACGACGCCAAACGAGAAAGCTCTCATTAAGGCTTTGGGAATCCGGCTTCGGGACTTCCTGTGATTGGCCTTCGGATGGTGCGTTTTGGGGCTTAGGTGACTTAGGTGTTTCGACACTGCAAATAGAAGTGCCGGATTACTCCTAGATCGCCTAGTGAAAGTGGATGCGGAATATCCTCGCATCCGAAAACCTTTCTGCCGCAAGCTTGCCTTTGGCCAGGACATAAGGGTATATGCCTGATCGGACTAGGACTGACTATGGCACATCTGCACAGGCAGCGGTTTGACATGCATATCCCAACTCAGAACACGCCCTAGCGGCGCGACCTAGGCGCCGCCTCCAACGAGCTTCAATCAGCCAATGCAAGTGCCAGGCTTCCCTTCTGAGCTGGTGAAGGGGATATGTGTGCCATGGCAGAGCATATCTAGTGAAGCCTCGGGTGATTCCACGCAGTCTTGCATCGAGGATTCCGTCTTGAGAATCCTGTCCAGTAAGCCCATATGATTTAGATCATACTTCCTGGCACCCACCGTGTCGTTGGAATCCTCGAGTTTTGGAAAGAGAAATAAATAACATGATTCCCACATGCATTATACATTAGATATGTGTGGCTGAAGGAACACGTGCAGATGCTTGCTGTTGCATTGCTGAAATTATGCAGCTCTAGTCTTGCGAGAATCCCCCCCCCCCCGTCCTTCCACCGCGAGAATTGGGACAGAACACTTGTTCGCGTGTGTCTGCATTTCGATCCCGTCGCGGTGCAGGTGGGCCGGTCATCGCCCCTTACACGCCGGCACCGGCTGGCCCTTCCCATCGACCGCCATTTGTGCCAGGACAGAAAAGCACTGCGTTGCCATGCACGGGTTGATGAAATTGATGTCTACAAAACTTGGCACGGCAAGCTTTCTAGCTCAAGCCATCAGGTAGTGAACAGTGAACAAACCATTGCCGTGTGGAATCGTGTCAACTCTCTGTTGGACACAGCCTGCCAAGACCCTCTCTTCCCCAGAAGCTGCCAGCCCGGCCTTTCAAACCGAATTGTGGTTCTGGACATTGCGGCTGGTGCATTCGAAATCAGGTTCTGGATGCTCCATGTCTGGAAGGTGTCGGGGGAAGAACTGGCCATCATCCCGGTGGAAGAGCTTGGAAGCGTACGGAGTTTGAAGCAGCAGTTGCAGTGCCTGTGCGGCGTTCCACGATTCAGGCAGAGGCTTCTGGTGGACGGCGCTGCTTTGGCAGACGACGTCATTCTGGACTCGCCGATCCATGTACAGTTGGTCTTACTGCCTTTGGCAGACATCTCCGTAGAGCAGCAACCGGAGCTCACCATCGCAGCTGCTGGGGGTTTGGTTGACAATGTGGAAGACATGCTGCAGCGACCTTGGGACCCGGACAGTCCCTTTTGTGGCTTCACTCCGCTGCATGCTGCCGCGGAGCACGGCCAGAGCAGTATCGCACGCTTGCTTCTGGAGGCTCGTGCAGACAAGGACAAGAGCGATCGGCATGGCAGGACACCTCTGTGGCTGGCATCTCAAGACGGCCACGTGGAAATCGTACAGTTACTATTAGACTGTGGCGCCAAGAGAGACAAATGCGACCACTATAGAAGAACGCCGCTTTGGGTGGCATCTTTGCGTGCACATGTGGACGTTGTGCAATTGCTGCTGCATGCTGCTGTCGAAGGCATAGATCAAGCCGACATGTATGGAAGAACGCCGCTTTGGGAAGCAGCCCAAAGCGGGCACACGGAGGTGGTTCGCTTGCTGCTGCAGGCCAGCGCAGACACAGATTCCGGTGACATTTACAGCAGGACACCCCTGTGTGAGGCCGCTCAGCACGGACATGTAGCCGTTGTGCGCGTATTGCTGCAGGCTGGTGCGGAAAAGGGCCAGAGCGACTTCTTCGGCAGCACGCCCATCTCAGTCGCCCATGCGGACGTTGCATGTTTGCTTTCGGAAGCCACAGCCTCGAAAACCTGGAATTGACGGAAGAGGGAACTCAAAAGGGCACGTGGCCGTTGAGTCGTCCTCAGCTGGTACAGCAGAAGACGTGCTTAGGCGGAAGCAGTGTTGAGTCTGCAGCGACCCTGCAACTCTGCGAAGTCGATGCGTCGGTGCAGGTGAAAACAAAGTGCATGGTCGTAGCAATGCTGCATCTCAAGAGCGTCAGCCCCGCACAGCTGATATGAATGGATCGTGGGGACTGTTCGACGTAGAAAGTTGAAAGGGCAGGTAAAGAGACACCGGCGGGGGCCTTCACTTGCAACAGCGGCTGTTGAGAAGGGTTCGTAATTGTCATAGTTACAGTCAGCATCTTTAGAAGTTGGAATTTAACGTAAGTCCTCGTTGTTCAGCCTGGAGACGAAACCTTGAAACATGCATACAAAGAACTGAGAGACTAGGGCATGCTGGTGCTTCTGGTGGTGGTGGCGGCGGTGGTGTTAGTAAGCCACAACATGTAGGGTTCGAATGCTAACTGTGTGTGATAGTTTTCCGTGGTTGTCGTAGCAGATCTTCTTAGCCATGCAAAACTACCTTTCCATTCTCTTTGCGGTCCTCATCGGGAACCCCAAACTTAAGTCCTATATCGATCAACACCTGCAACCCCTAACTTACTTTAGTTACCCTATGACCGGCAATACCTTGAAGGTCTTGTTCCCTCAGTGCCAGGAGCGGGGCCTGGTTTCCCTGCGGCCGGCTTCCAGCAAGGAGCTGCTGCAGCCGGGGCTTCCGGGCGCCAGGGCCCTGGTAGGGCCCTGATGGGGCCTTTCTGGCTTCAGCATCAGTTGGGGATCGCCGTCGGCCTAGGCGCAGGCTTGAGGCAGGCGGTTCGGGGATGGCTTCCGCATTGCTGTGCTGGTTCCGCGGGAGGGCCAAGGTGCTGGTTGGTGAGATGGAATTTGCTCTTTGCAATGGGCTGGCTTAGACGCCAGCTTCAGTTTGAGTGCAGGGCGGCGGCTTGCAGGGATGCCCGACCATGATCAGGGGTTGAAGCCGCACAGCCGCACAGTATCCAAGAGCTGAGGGTCTGCAACAAGGATGGGTTAAAGCGCGAAGGTCCTTTTTCTCACGCCATCCGCCGACTGGGTGGGCTTGCATGCAATTGTCGCTACTCATGCTATCCGCGTTAGCATGTCGACTTTGACTCCTAGGATGAGGTTACAAGGTCGTAGTTCGTAGTCGTAGCGTCGTAGTTTACATGTCTGGTGGAAGTTTTTGGTGATGACTTTTTGCCATCATCCAAGGCTGGGGTCCAGGTGGTTACAGCGGTCCCGCGCCGGGTGCGGGCGCAGGCTCGCCAGAAAAACATCTGCGAAGCAAGTCCAAATCATGCACTTCTAATCACGAACCATGGACCATGTGGATCTCTAGTCAAGAAGCCCCCTTGTGTAACACGGATGACCACAGCGCTGCTTTTGGCACGGAGGCTCAGGTGCAAGCTCTTCTGCGTCCGGCGCCAAAGGCCTGTTTCTTCCATGTGCGCACCCGAAGAAAACCCAGCCGGCAACTACAAAGAGCCACAGTTGGATTCCTTGGCTGACAACAGCTTCGTTGGATTCTGAGCTGACAGTGTCAGTACTTTTGGCGGCATGGGCCTTGACAAGACGTGGACCAACAAGCCGGCGGCAGGCTTCGTCGAGCGCATTGCCAAGGGCGACGTCCTTGTTGGTGCAGATGCGGCCAAGCGGCTGGTGGGCCGTTTGCAAGATTGTGCTAGGATCCGGATCTGATGCATCATAGCCTCACGACTTTACGAAGCCCCCATTCTGTCGGTCAGACACAGAGTTCCTTTGCACCATAGCCGCCATGCCACGCCTCATCAGACTTTTTTGCACAGGTATCGCAGTGTAGCCATGCGAAGACAACTGCGAAGCAGTTGGCAGAGATGGTGACGCCGTCACATTTCCGATGGGTGCCACAGACCACAGACGGAATTGGATTACTACGGCGATTTTTCAGATGTTTGGAGATCAAGCGAGGAGATGATATCAGGCATATGCCACTCGGACTAGGAATCCAGCTGC